GGGCGGTGCGTATGTACAGCACACGTACCATGCATGCGTGTACGCGCGGGTACGAGCGCCCTGTTGCTCTGATTAGTGCTGGTGATGGTGATGCTGCTCTAAAGCTGATGATGATGATGCTGCCTTGATGGTGGTGGTGACCTGGTGGCTGTGATGAGGAGATGGGGGTGGACAGCCGGAGTGCATACAACAATGAGATGCATGACGAACAGCAAAACGCGAGCGAGCGAGAGAGTGCAGGCGTGTTATGCGTGTTATGCGTGTGTTCGCGTGTTATGCGTGTGTTCGCGTGTTATGCGTGTGTTCGCGTGTTTATCGTGTGTTATGCGTGGGTTCTTCGTGTTATTTCGTGTGTTTCGCGTGTTCATGCGTGTGTTCGCGTGTTATGTGTGTTATGCAGTCGTGTTCGCGTGGTTTATGCGTGTCGTTGGTCGCGATGTTGATGCGTGTTGTTCGCTTGTTATGGTGTCGTTCGCGTGTTATGGTGTGTTTCGCGTGTTCAATTGCGTGTTGTTCGCGTCGTTCGCGTGTCATGCGTGTTATGCGTGTGTTCGGTGTTATGGGTGTGACTTCGACGTATCTGGCGTGATTATGGCGGTGTGTCGCGGTGTTATGCGTGTGTTCGCGTGTTATGCGTGTTATGCGTGTGTTCGCGTGTTATGCGTGTGTTCGCGTGTTATGCGCGTGTGTTCGCGTGTTTATGGCGTGCTGTTCGCGTGTTATGGTGTTATGGTGTGTGTTTCGCGGTGTTATTGCGTGTTATGTATTCGTTTCGCGTGTTATGCGCTGTTGGTGTTCGCGTGTGTTCGCGCTGTTATGTGTTTGTGTGTTCGCGTGTTATGCGTGTTATGTGTGTTCGCGTGTTATGCGTGTTATGCGTGTTATGCGTGTGTTCGCGTGTTATGCGTGTGTTCGCGTGTTATGCGTATTTAATGCGTGCTTATGCGTGTCCTATGGCGTGTGTCGCCGATGTTATGGCTGTGTGTTCGCCCTGTGCTTATGCGTGTCGCTATGCGTGTGTTCACGTTTATGCGTGCTGTTTCCGCGTGTTATGCAGTGTGTTCGCGCTGTTATGCGTGTTATGTGTGTTCGCGTGTTATGCGTGTGTTCGCGAGCGTGTGAATTAATGCCGATGTTCTCCTGTTATCTGCACACGTGTATCCCAGTTACACTCTGCCCCGCTCTTCATTTGCCTTATAATATTCAGATGATTATATATTCATTGATTATAATCACAGCCGTCGGCGTGGCACTCCGCGCCGCCACCTTGTGACGTCAGTCCTCTCAAACGCAGACGCACGCTGCCATCGCTCTGGCTGACGTACTTCATCAACATGGCTTTTGACGCGCACCCGCGGGAAATCATCGTAGGCCACGGCGTTTCTATGTGCTTAGCCGTAGTAGGTAACAGTGCTCGGCGCCCACGGCTGTAGTGGAGCCGCTGTTGGCATGAAAGGTCTCTGCGGTTGCTCTGAGCTGAAATACGTTGAAGCTGCCGTGTTATCTGTCTATGGTAATTATAAAACCGCCTGATGCTTGCTGCGCGTTAGAAGTCGAGCGAATAAGTATACCTATATTATATATATTATCATATTATATATTATATATTATATATAATATATATATATATTGTATATATACTGTCTATACGTTTGGCTATGTAGTGGCCAGATCTAGGCTAATCTTGTATAATGTGGCAAGAATGGTGGGAAAAGTGGAACACCATAGTGGTAATGGGTAGATAAGGATAAAGGAAATGGTGCCATAGTGTCGGAAGTTCTCGGTGATTGAGTATAGAGGGAGGGGGATGAAGGGGGGGATTGGCGTGTGTTACACCGGCGCGTGGTCGCCTTTGCCGCTTGCGTGATAACCTGTACCTGAGTTGCAAAGTGTACTATTGTAGAGAATATCTCTCCTTATGAAGCATTACTATCATAGAGATATCTCTCCTTTATGAAGCATACTATCATAGAGATATCTCTCCTTATGAAGCATTATATTCATAGAGATATCTCTCTTAGAAGCATACTATCATAGAGATATCTCTCCTTATGAAGCAATACTTCATAGAGTATATCTCTCCTTAATGAAAGCATCTATTCATAGAGATATCTTCCTATAGCCATCTATCATAGAGATATTTCTCTTACTCTATAAGCATACTAATTGTGAGATATTTCTTTATGAAGCATACTAATTGTAATGATAATCTCTCTTTTATGAGAGCCATACTATGTAATGATATCTCTCTTAGCCGCCTATAGTTGCTTGCTCGCCACAGCGTGTTATATTCGTCCTTAGCATATCGATGCGAACAGCGGATTTTCTCGAGCATGTATGTACTTTTTTTAGAATTCGTTGATGAGAATTGCGTTATGATAATTTCTTCAGCGCCGTATGTATGAGAGGAATAAGAGCGGAGTACGCAATTGCAGTCCACTGCTAAAGCTGTGTCTTAATCGATGCCTGCATGCGTTATTGATGTGCCGTTGCACGCTGCGCCACGAATACACGCTCTCTCTCTCTACCTTCTTCATCGCTTTCACTCCTGTTCTCTTTCTTTATCTCTGACATCTATCTATCTTCACCTCTTCTCTGCTTTTTTCTCTCCTCCTCCTTCTCTCCTTTCCTTCTCCCGTTCTCTTCTCTTTTCTCTCTTCTTCTCCCCTCTACTTTCCTCCTCCTCTCTCTCTTTCTCTAATCTCCCTCTTCTCTCCTCTCTCTCCTCTTTCCTCCTCCTTCCTCCCTTCTACTTCCCTCCTCCTTCTTCTTCTCTATTTCACTGTTCGGAACTCTTTTTCTCACTTCGTTTCATCCTTTCTTTTCTCTTTCTTTCTCCTTCCTTCCCACCTCGTAAGACATATCCGGCCATATAAGTTGAGGCATTTTCTATTTAGTAGGTTCTGTAGGGGAGAGATAGTTGAGCTATAGAATAGCTTGTGGATAATTAGAAATCACGTTAACCCTAACACCGTATAACCCTTCTTTAAACTCTAAATAAACACAGAAATTTAGCAAAAATATAAACAATAAAATAATATAAAGCGAGAAATTAGCCAATCAAAGCCCGTCCCCTAGTGCCGATCACTTCCTCCCTTGTACAAAAATTTCTTTTTATTGCTACTCTTCATTCAGAAGAAGTGTACCATGGTATCGTGCAACGTTATCTGTTAGCTATAACTAACGCTTTTTCTGTCCGGCGATGTCACTTTCGTTCGAGCTTAGGCACAGCATCGGATACGCAGTCATTTATACGCAAGTTCACATACATTTGCGCAATATACTTTTCGTCTGCGTAACACGAAATATACGTGATACACACGGCACCACCTCACTCACGCACCACACACGCACACACACACCGCCATCACACACCACACCACACACCCAAAAACACAACAACACACACAAATATTTTTATCCTCGGTTGAATTATTTCAACCGCGGTAAATTGTTTATCCCGGCTGTTGAAATTATTTTATACCACACATCACAACACAACACACTCTCTGCACGCCGCACACACACACACAACACACACACACACACACACCACACAACACACACACAAACACCACACACACACACACACACACCACACACACATACACACACACACACATCACACGCACACGCACAACACACACACTACACACAACACACACACACCACACACACACACATGCACACACACACACCTGGCAAGACACCACAACACACACAAACACAACACACACACAAACCACACACACACACAGCACATACACCACACCAACACACGGCACCACATACACACAGCCATACACACAACACCAGCACACACACACACACAACACATACACCCACGCACCAACACACTACAAGCACACACCACACACACACACATACACACACACAGAACACACACAGCACACATCACACACACACACACACACACACCACACCACACATCGTCCGATTTACGCGAGATTAGGGATATCAGATGTTTTTTTTAGAAATATCGCGCTATGTATTTGTAGGTTGAATTTACAGATTTAATAACAATAATCAATATAATAATAAACAACTTACGGTTCCTCATGCCGACTTTCATCTGCGGTGTCAAGGGGCGCAGTGAATAAAAGTATTCACTTGATTCCTACCCCTCTCGCGCGATAGTATCGCCACGACCAGTCAGCATGGAAAACTTTTGCAGCGTTAACATATGGCCGTAATATTCAGCCGAAACTTTTTCACTCGCGAGACACAAAATGGGAATTTACGCTATAATACACTGCGAACGCGTGCGTGTACCATTAACCCCCGCGTGGTGCGCGCCCGGTCGGTGATTGCTGTATCTGTGTTTGTGTGACAAGTAAAAACGCGTATTATAGAGCGTATAAGCTCATATTTTGTGTTTTGGCGGGGATGAAAAGTTGAGGCCTGAAAACCGGCCCCCATTTTGCTGCGGCTAACTTTATCACAGTGCACTGATGCCAGTGGGGGCGATACGGCGATACTTATCCGCCGATAACGGGGGCAGGGAAATACTGAGGGGGAAGGGAGTTAGATGGGGGGAGCGAAGGAACGAGGAGATGAAGGAGAGAGGGCGGAGGGACGGGAGAATGCAGACGTGAAGATGTGCGCCACGCGCATGCGCAAGTACCACGCCGCAGGAGAAGCGACGTACGGTACCAAACGGCACCACACAGGCACGGGATACAATATTCCATCTATTATAGTTACTATTCGCCGACTTTCCCCGCTGACCCTCTCCACCTCTTCGTGGAGAGAGGAAAAGAGAGAGAGAGAGAGAGAGAGAGAGAGAGACCAAAAGCAAGGCAACGGGAAACTAATGAACGTAATCCGCAACGAATGTTGCCGTCGTACACTTCTAGCGCAGACGCAAAAGCAAGTCCCTCGCACATACATTCAACGAGCAATCTATCTATCATGGCGCTAGTAATTTATATATAAATTGGCTCGAGACCGGCGCGCAGCCTAACGATGTTCACTTGTTACGTAAAACCATTACGTCCGAGGCTGGACGTTCGAGAGAATGAGAATCCTGAGCGACGAACATCGCTCGTCTCCCACACAACCAATAATGACACGTGATGCTTGGCTGTTCCCGTCTGCACCGCTACTCCCCGCCGGCTGTCACGGCAGCCTGCTGCACCCACGAGAACCAGCGATTCTCAAACTTCTGCTGGAAGGCGTACCGCTGTGCTTCCGTGCCGCTCACGTGCAGGCAGTCGTCACCCTTCTCTAATCCCATTTCTTGCTCAATAATCTGCAACAAAGGAGAAATAACATACAGGCCCACAATCCCTCCATCTGAAACCAATGGGGCCAAGCGCATTTCAGAATGCGGAATTTCATTTTAAATTTCAGAATGGTAGCACGTTTACTGAGACTCTTAGAAGTATCTGCAGCACTTTTTTGACGTTTTCATGGTAAACCTAAACTTAAAATCACAAAAAAACACATACGGCACACGCGCGACATCTCGCACTCGCTTGGGTCAAGCGTCAGCTCATGCCTAAGCTCTAGGTCACGTCGTGGTCACGAGTCACTCGAGTCACGATGGACCAGCGATTAAACATTCGGTTTACAGAGCTTTTCGCGCGCGCGCGCGTCTCGTGATGACTCACCGCGGCCGCGATGCCAATGAACTGCTTGCTGACAGTGAGACGGCTGATTTGCAGCGCCACCTGTTCTTGCATCGCCTCGTGCCGCCCATGCGCGAACGACTCCGCTGCCGGCACGCAACTCCTCAGCAGCACCCTGCGGCACAAAACGACAAGTGAACGCCACGCGCGTTGCCACGGCGACCGCGGACGGGGTCATCCGATGGTCCGCTGCGTTGACGAGGGGCGTGGGATTCGGGCGGCTGAAGGGCCGAATCGCGAGGAGGAATCGCAATTCGAGCATGACATCGCAACACGTCGTTAGAAGGAGGTGCTCTCAAACGATACAAGCAAACAGGCGTGGTTGCTCACAACGATACATTAATCCTTGGATTTAAGTGAAGGCAACTTGTACACAGCACGGAAAAACATACCTAGCCACCTGAAATGATTGACAGGCAGGTCTGGCTAATCAACTTGGCCATTATCTAACTTGATCATTGACTAGCAACAGTATTTTAGGAAGCACTGTTATCTCTCTCCGATGGGTACAGGTGTGATGCGTTTGACACTAACCTGGCACGCAGCAGACAAGCACACACTAGCAGATCTTTTGCCTGCAGCAGTTGCTTAGCTAGCTCCAGCTCATCACTGTAGTCATCATCAACATCAACGTCATCATCATCACCGCTGTTTTTGTCGCTGTTCTTCTCATTCTCCAGTTCCACGCGGTTCGTCTCCTTAACAAAAGGCGTAATAACTAAAAGCTAGTCTATTGGCAGAGCAATAGAGAGCATTTCCCCAAGATTTGGGTCTACCTTCACGAACCGTTCAGAATGTCACGTGAGCTCATGGTGACTTTTAAAACCGATCATTAGATTTTTTGTGGCGCAATGGTCATTTACAATGTTTAAATTGGCGACAGCAAGTCGCGCATTGAACAGAGGCTGCCAGGTTCTGACAAGCACACTCGGCCACACTGTGGAAGGTCAATGAAAAACTGCAATGGGCAACAAACGTGTGGCAACCTATGCACGTGCAACTACCGGTTGCTGCTCACTCACCACTTTGTTGTCCACCTGGTTGATGGTGGTCTCCGTGGCAACCGTCTCCGCGGGAACCGTGATGTCGGAACCGGTCTCATTGACGGGGGACGTCTCACACGAGGCGTATCCAGACTCGAGACCCGTGGTGACCACCTTGTCGACCCCGTCTAAGCTCTTCACCTGCTTGTCCAAGATACTCGCGACATCTTTGATTCTGCATGAGTATCAACAGCAAATAGATTAGCGGAGAGCCATCTGCGTGTGGCCACGTCGGCACTTTATGACGCGATTAGCAGCAAAACGATCTTAGAGAACATCTTAGAGAAAATCGTGCGAGTAAATCTTGGGGAACACTTTAGAAAAAATCGTAGAAAATATATTAGAGAGATTCTTGCAGAATAAAATAGAAAAGAACATAAGGGAAATTTCAGAGAAAAAAATCTTGGAGAAGATCCTTCGCACATGCCCCGATATTTTATCCCATCTCCCCAGTCGTCATCTGTTTGCCTGTAGGCAGCTATGGTTCGCACACCAGCTTCAAACATTGTTTCGCATTTCATTGAGCATTTGGTATGCAAATAAGCGAGATAGCCAGTAGGCATGGCCTCTGCATCATATTTATACGTCAGCTGTAGCAATATTTAGGACCGGCAAGCCGGTCTCTCGCCGGAAAATTCATTCCTCGAAAATCAATATGGCATAGCCTTGGCATTCGCCACTCCCTTTCTGGTGCTCTTGTCACGCGAATTGCTTTCGACTTACGCGCATCTACCCATATAATATTACCGACGAATCAATACAGTTTTGAGAAGAGAAGAATCGTTTGAGTCTCTTCTGACAAAACTAAAGTCATAAGAATCGATGAGATCACTGTGAGACGAAACTCGTCGCTAATTGCTAACACTTGGTGTCCAGAGGAATTACACATTCACACATCCCTCCCCTGAAGAGCTAATCCGGGTGTTTTCACAATGTAGCTTGCACATTATTAATTTAATTAATTATTAATTAATTAATTTAATTAGTGCTTGCACTAACACCTACCTATCTAAAGTATCCCTAACGAATCAACAAACCATTTTCGTGAAAAACCCTTGGGCTAAGTAATGTTGTTGTTGTTGTTTTCGGTTTCTTTATTTTATACTGGACTTAAGGGTTTGGATCCACATCAGTAGAAACCCACTCCAGGAATCTGGCTCGGTCCAGTTTTGGCAGCTCTCACGCTTGCTCTCCATGTGACCCAATCCAAGAAGTCTACAGCGGAGAGATTCCACTGTTCCCTATCCTTCTTCACAACCTCCTTCCAAGACATCTTCGGCCTCCCACGTCTCCTTACACCAACAACTCGAACTTCACCCACTGTCTTGATGGCACCGGTGGAGCGCTGAACATGGCCATACCAGCGGAGTCTTCTCTCACGTAATAAGACATCAAGGTCCAAGATACCCAGTCTGCCCAGCAGCTCGTTTGAAGGGGCCAAATCCTCGATTGTGACATTGCGATCCATCTGATCATTGCCCTGTCATTACGCCGGAGGCGTTGCAAGTCAACAGATTTCACTGCCCATGCATGTCTCTCTCCCGTGCAGCATGGCGCTACGGACACAGGTGCCATACACATGACCACGAGTCCTGAGGGACAGATGTCGAGATTATTTAAATGCAACAGGCGCCCCCTGGCGGTGGGCACACTCACCTCAGCTCGCTCAGCGAGGCGATCTCGAAATCTTGCAGACACCTTAGCGTCGCGGATTCCTTCTCAGAGATTGTCACCTCACCCATCTCGGTGGCGTACAGTTGCTCATGCATCCACGCCAGCTTGATCCAGAATTCGGGGCTGTTAGGGTAGAGTGCCACGCACTGCTGCACCACGAATAGGCAGTCTGAAACAAGGGGCAGTCTGAAACAAGGGGCAGTTTGAAACGACATGCAATCTGAAACAACAGGCAGTCTGAAACAAGGGGCAGTCTGAAACGACTGGCAGTCTGAAACAAGGGGCAGTCTGAAACAAGGGGCAGTTTGAAACGACAGGCAGTCTGAAACAACAGGCAGTCTGAAACGACAGGCAGTCTGAAACAAGGAGCAGTCTGAAACAAGGGGCAGTTTGAAACGACAGGCAGTCTGAAACAACAGGCAGTCTGAAACAACAGGCGCTTAGAGGTGACAGACAGCAGTGTGATGACCGATTCTCTCTGCGACCATGATGTGCATACCTTCGTAATTCTGCAGAGCCTGCTGCACTTTGAAGAGTAGTGTGAGGGAGGCGAGCTTCTGATCTGCACCTTTTGCCTCGTCCACCTAAGAAAGAACACAGACAAGCAGGTCATTTACGTGTGATTAAATTGACTACGTCACGAATTTTCTATGGTGCATATTTGTAAAAATTTTGTTGCAATTTTTTTACATTAAAAGTAAGTACTAACGAGACTAAAATATGTATCCTCAAATTCTTAGCTGATAAGATTGTTTCTCAACTAGTTAAAAATCCAAAAACCTCGGCAATTTGATATATTGATCACGACATTAAATGCTTGCTATGGGCTATGTATGAGTAACGAGTGTTTGTTCACATCGAACGGAATCACAAACTAGGAAGTATAATACAGCAATTTTACCATGAAAAGCAAACAGAATCACTTACATTTTGTGAAAAAGTGTATATATTTTTTTTACTTTTCCGATTTATCGTGATGTAATCATTTTAACACCTAACAATCTTTACGGTTCCTTAATTCAAGTTTCACTCAGTACAGGTGACAAGCCTGTGTTATACACTTTGTTCATTAAACGTCCAGGCATGTTCATGCAGCTGTAGATACGGACGTGTACACACCAACTCGTTACATATCTGCAGAGCTGAGGGTAACTCCATCCTGAGAGCCAGCCTACAACGCACGGCTCCCTCCATCATGTCTCTGCGCGGCACGTTATGAGATGCTGGTGCTATCTCCAGACCACGCTCATAAGCTTCCAGTGCACTCGCATACTTTCCCTTTCAAGAGAAAAAATGCATTGACTCAACTCGGACCAGAGCTATGAGGTCTGAGCTAGATTGATTGCTTTGTGAAGTGGCTTGAGATTAATTTCCATAAATTTTACATTACGCATAAAAGACAAGTGTCTGTATTTTGAATTTCATTTATATTTGACTTTGGGCGCAGCATACATTGAAATACAATGAAGCAATTTTGTGCGACTGAAAAAAAAACGTCGACGTAACAATTGAGATTTCTGGCCCGTCAGTCATAGACAGAACAGCGAGGATTTTCTCATTCCAAAATGCCAAAAAATCTCTCCTCTAGTTTTAATAGCTCGAGCCAAGAGCTGTGTGCAACACACGTCAGATACACCAGTATTCACTAATACCGTCAACATGGGCGGATCCAGGAATTCTGGAAGGCAGGGGAATGCGTAACGGAATGGGAGCGGTGGTAGAGGGTACGCTTCCAGATTATTCTATACAGAAATATGGTTATAATCTATTATAGGGGGTCCAGGCTGTCAGGACCGCCCTTTCGTGAACGCAAAACAGATTTAGGGTACAGGAAATACCTCTCACAGCTTACATAGAATAACAACGCTTCAAAATAGTACATATATATCATTAAAATCCATCGAATTGTAACAGTATTCTATAAAAAAAAAAACTGGGGGAGGGACCACTGTTCCATTGTACTCTCAGCAGAATTCTCCCTTTCAGGATTCCTGGCTGGCATAGCCACACCCTCTGTAGCCGCCACCACTGCACAAATACTGAGTCCAGCCCGACCAGTCAATCAATTACAATCCGAGACGATGGCGACACAACGTACTGAAAGCAGCGGGGCCGATTCACAAAGCCGAAATATTTTGATCTGGATAGTATCGATCATATCTAGGCAGCAGTGGAAGCAGCAGACCACGGCCGCACATCGGCTGAGGCATCCGAGCGAGGAGAGGAAGCCACGAAGGTCGTGTGCGTGCGCGTACACACGATGCGCGGACTCCAGAGAAAGAGACGAGTTGCATTCACGTAACCTACATGGACATGCTTTTGTACAAGATAGGCTGCAAGTTTCCTTTTATAGGATGCGTACTGTAACGTTAACAAATACGAGTGGGGGAGGAGTGGGGGCAGAGGAGCGCATTTTCTAAAGATATCAAAGAACGATGCAATTTGTTTTATGTGAAGTGGTGGTTTGGATAGTCTCTACGGATCACAGTTGGATAGTCACTAGACACAGATCCTCTGCACTACCCCCATGTGGGCTCAATCAGCTTATGATTTAATGCCATAGATCTGAAATAGTTGGCGATGAGCTACTAGTTTCGACTTATGGTAGTCTTCTTCAGGCCCTCTTAACTTTGTAAAGCTGAAAAAAAACTGTCTAAAGTATATATGCAATTTGTTCATGGGAACTAGAGGGTACTGAATGTCCTCCGGGTAGCCTTCACAAAATAGGCTAGACTTCAAGGAAGTGAGACCTAACATTAAGCAATAAGGAAGAGCCGTTTAAAGAGTAAATTACTTCAGGATGTAGATTTTTGTGGGAGGGCACTTAGGGAACATAGCACCTTAAGAAAACGAGAGATGATTTCGGGAAGCACTCAACGTTGCATGGAACCTTGCTTTAGGAACAAATGAGAGCTTCAAGGTGAAAAAAGGTCAAACAGCAAAGAGGCTCTGTTACTTACTTAACTTGGGAAGTAGGAGAGGTCATGACCTGTGAGTAGTAGAGGTCATTACCTGTGAGTAGTAGAGGTCATTACCTGTGAGTAGTAGAGGTCATTACCTGTGAGTAGTAGAGGTCATTACCTGTGAGTAGTAGAGGTCGGCACGGTATCGGCAGGCCTGCAGCTGCTCCCGAGGATCTGACGACATTTTCTCTGTCAAGAACCACTGAAGATAAAAAACTACATGTTAGCCATCAATAGCTACACTTAAGCCCGGCGCACACGTGAGTTATTTTACTCAAGTAAAATGACGCATCAGTCAAATTACTCAACGAAAATCCGCCGCACACGTGAGTAAAATGATGCATGCATCAAATTACTCAACGAAAATCCGCCGCACACGTGAGTAAAATGACTCATGCGTCATTTTACTTGAGTAAAATAACTCACGTGTGCGCCGGGCATTACGTAAGAGCCAATGCAGACAATAAACTACATGGCAGCAATCAGATAATTTCACTTAACGTGCAATATATGGCAGTTACGCACGCAAGCACACAAACATGCACGAACACACCCACCCACACAAGCGCACCCCAGCACGCACGCGCGCATCAGTGTTGTAGGTCTCGAGGCCGGTCTTGAGACTGTTTTCCTTGGTCTCGGTCTCGGTCTTGGCCTCGGAGTGCAATGACTCAAACTCGGACTCGGACTCGAGCCCTCAGGACTCGAGGACTCGGGTCGAGGCCGGCTCAAGGCCACTACATACATAGTACACAACTGTACATATTGTAACACGCAGTTTACAAGCATTTAAAACTAAAACTCCTAGGTTTTCTAGATACACGGCCTAATCTTGTAACGTTTTCAATGGCTCGATTAAGATTCTTGTCCCTTTGGTTTGAATCTACTGTCGCTTCGTCCCTTTGCGCTTTTTCTACCACTTCTTTCTCTTCTTCTACCACTTCGAAGGTACTAGCACTCTTTCATTTGGTTCAACAAGCCGTGTCATTCTCGTAAAACACAAATGGATCCGTTACTTTGACACGTTTCGTATGACTCGTGTTTCTGTGTTTTCGGCTGACTATACACTTTCGAATGTCTACGATGCACTGTTGCAATTTTTTCCCTTTTTTCCCGATTTTTTCCCTTTTTCCGATTTTTCCCCTTTTTTTAATCAAAACTGGACTCGGACTCGGACTCGGGTGGTGTGGACTCGGACTCGGACTCGGGGGGTGCGGACTCGGACTCGGACTCGGACTCGGGGGGTGCGGACTCGACTACAACACTGGCGCGCATGCATTTCGTTAATCCGTGAGTGACTAACTGTAAACTCCGTTTGATGTCAATTACTAACAGCTTCCAGCACGCACAAAGTAAATCAGGCGGTGATTGTCGGTGCGAGCCGACGCCTTCTAAACGACAACGTGCTCCGTCGCACTGGCGACGAGCATTAAATCCACACACGCAACGCACGCACTACACACACACACACAACACACACACACACACCACACACACACACACACACACACACAACACACACACACACACAACACACACACACACACACACACACACACACACACACACACACACACACACACCACCACACACACACACACACACGCACACACGCACACACGCACACACGCACACACGCACACACGCACACACGCACATGCATGTACGCACGCAAGCATACACACAGGTGCGCACACACACACAGAAACACGCGAGCACGCACACACGCACGCACGCACGCACACACACACACACGCACGCACACCCAGTTACTTGTCTTCAATCTACTGAATTATTCCTTGTACAGATATACGCGTTACTACCTGTAATTTCGTAGTTTGAAGAGTGAGATGTATAATATGCTGGTACTGTATAAACAATACATGACAAGATGAACCCCTTTACCCCATTTTCTATGGCGTAGCAAATGACATAACCCATGTTGAAGGTATATGGCCGGCAGTAGCAGTAAAAGGTTAGTGAGGAGAATAATAGCGAGAAGTTATTAGCAAGGAGTATATTATTAGCGAGGAGTTATAAGGCTGCAGAGAAATAAACAAAAGCAACTCATCCCTACAAGTAGCGATCACATCACCGGAGCTCTATAGCTTTATTTGTACGGAGTAACACTGCTAAGTGCTTGCAACAGTAGACGAGAAAATGAAGCGAATTAAGCGGGAAACAGACTCGGTCGGTTGTGAAGCTGACGCTCATTCCTAATGAATCGCGTACCGTAACGTGCACAATGGCAGACCAATCCTCCTAACACTAGTGTCGTACTTGCAACGGAGTCAAATTCCAAGTTGATTAGCAGACGATACGTAACAACTGTCGACAATAGCTATAACCGTATTCTGTCAAATATTCACTATGCAAAAACATGAAACACGTTGTATCTGTATACAGACACACGCACGCACGCACGCACTCACACACACACACATGAACACACGCATACATATATACGTATACACGTATATACATATATTTATTTGCTAGTTGCTCTGAGTAGCTGAACGGAAGAAAAACACTACGACGCGCAAACGAATAGCTAGCTAGTCCGGCCCGGTTGCTGCAAACACTGCACCGATGTCTGTCGAAATAACAACACACAGTCAACTCCTACCCACCACTAGAGAAGCGACAAGTAACGAGCAAGCTAACTCACTTACCAATGGGAAGCAAAGAGACTCCGGCACACAGTCACACATGCAGGCTAATGAGTTCACGTAAACATATAGATGTAGACCGGGGTGAGGAATATGTAAATATGTGTGCGGGTACGTGTGTATTTATGTGTGTGTGTGTATGTGTATGTAGCTGCGTAGTAGAAGAGGAGACCTGGCAGAAAAGCAGGAGGCGTCTGCCAGGCGCAGTCGGCAAGAGAATGAGCAGCTTAAAATCAATACGCAGCCTCCAAACCTTGCCGCAAATACCAGTATAGAGGGATCGGGGTGTTGGCGGGTGGATGTGTGGTGGGGCTTCATGCATGCGTGCGAGCATGCGGGGGTGGGGGCGTGGTGGGAAGGTGGGCGCGCACGCACGTGCTTAAAAAATTCTATGTTTGCTGTCCCCTGACCCAAGATTTTTTTAATGGGTAGGTAGGTCTTTTTTGTGAGGCATAATAGTTATTTTAAGTCTGTCTTCATGTTTGCCACACATGCTTTGTGTTTTAGTCTTAACTATAAAAAATGTAAAAAAAAAAAAAAGGAACCCAAAATGTAAAAAAAAACTTTTGGGTCGCGGCTATTTACGTGGGTCGGTCGGAGGACAGCAAACATATAATTTTTTAAGGATGGCCTTATTATGCATTATTTAAATCAGCACATGCTGTACGTGCGTACGTGCGTGCGTTTGTGTGTGCGTGCGTGCGTGCGTGCGTGTGTATGTGTGTGTGTGTATGTGTGTGCGAGCATGCATGCGTCTGTTCGTGCGTGCCTAATACAGTACGTAACCAAGATCTGTAATCGTTGAGGGAGATCAATTGTTTGATGACAGTTGCAATCGACAGCACCACTATAACGTCAACAATTGTGGCATGGGTCAATCGTGGCATCGTCAATCTGGGGGTATGCAAAATGCAGACAACATGTCGTTTGTTATGTGTGCGAATGGTGCCTGATAACCTGTAACTTTCCTTATACGCACTGCATCCAATGACAGACCAATCACGTTAGATTACCGCTCCCACCCGTGACGTCGTGGTGAGTGAAATTCGACAGAAATTCGTCATCTGCTGAAATAGGATAAATGTGGCGCCAGGGTACTTTAACTAATGTGCTTTCGATTGCCCTTTTCGTCACAACCAAAGCGGAAAATGCCTCTACATTTGTTAACTAATCATCACATTTTTTACAATGGCACATTAATCTGATACGTGTCTACACTTATTTTATGAGCTCGGTGACATACTGTAAAGTTAAGGTTGTATAACTTGCAAGTCTTAGCAAGCCTTTTTTCAATTATTAGTTTCATTTTATTTGGAGCGATGTTTGTTGAGATAATAAAAAGAAGTTAACATGCATATTGGAAACACAATGCCAATACACCTTGTAAGTGTGGAATTCGTATAGTTTAGTATGTGCATTTACATTATCAGACACTAGATGGTGCTGCAGTATATAAGTGCTAACTCTAGAACCATAGATGTGACTTCTTCAGTAAACTAATGGTCAAATTCCCAAAATATACACACAGCCAGTTTCCAGATAGATAAGTGTCCCAAAAGATATCGATGCTTGCAGGATGCCCTGATATAACCACTGCATAGGAAGCAGTTTAGAGGATATCCCGGTGATAATCAATGTGGGGTCAAGCAGCATTTGGTCAAGTCAGGCTGCGTACCATATATGCACACAGCGGTACACCCCTATATATGCCTACACACCAACCCATCCATGAGAAAAATATATTTACATATATGTATTTTCTATGGTAATAGAGCATATAACTTTACAATGGTCATAGATCATTTCAAAATTTTCGTTTCACATGCCATAGAAAAATTGTATGTCGAAGTTAGAAATATACCTGTCAGATATTTTATTGCCGAGAAGAACTCGTACAAACTAGTTTTGAACCACTCTGGCAATACCTTGGGGACGAAGAAGAAACATCATTCTGGGTGATAGGTGTTGTAAACTAAATGTATTATTGGATTCAGGCATGGGAATGGATGATCTGAAAAAACTCTGAACACAGGATGCCGAAGGCATCCCAGCTCACCTTTAGGCAAGCTTGGGGGTTGGTGTGGAAGGGGGCCGCCCCCTTGCACGGGGAGGGGGGGTTAGGAGAGCCTCTCCCTAGAACATTTTTTAATTTAGAGGCTCTGAGATCGCATCTGATGACTTCTGGAAGTACAATTATTCACAATTTACAAAGGACAAAATACTTAATTTTTAAGGAGAAACTTTTCATATTGACCCATGCTTCTACCAGTGAGTGCGCGAAAAATAAATACCGGTTGTATCGAGAGCCAGTGTTCCTTAACTTTCTTTTAGCGAGACGAGACCGCTATTTCTTCTCGATTAATTAGCAGTGCAATTGCTTCGACTTTTGTTGGCGGGACACACATGGAGGTTCAATCCACCCTCCACCCACCCACATCTACTCCCCCCCCCCAATATCTCAACGGATTTGCACGCTTCTCAAAAATGACCCAGGTAATCGGCAAAAAACTGAAATCCGAGAATTCCGCCGATAAATTTCCATGAATGTGTTACACAGAGACGTTTATCAATTAGTTGGCTTAAATAATGTTGTAGACGATAACAGCAAGACGTTCTTTTACTCGCAGCAAAACGGTCTACAGCAGGTACGTTTAGAACCGGAAATGGTAACTTACCCCGGGTTCACACAACTTTGCACCCTGTGATTCAAGCTTCTGAAGTGGCGGCTTAACTTTTTCTTGTGCAAAAATGCCATCTTCAAAGCAAGCAAACTCCATCTGTACGTCTAGAAAGTGCAGTATTGGCTTCTAGCTATTTCACGTGTACCAGTCATTTTCCTAGAGAAGTAATCAATGTATATTGTCAGGCTTTATAGCATACTATTTCTTGTAGAGTAGCAGTTACCACTGATAAAGTACAATGTGCAAGTTTGACATATGTAGTGATATTATGTAAGTTAATGCAAAAAAACTTCTGCATTAGAACATATCACTGCATCATTTCATGAACTTCGATCATAAGCAAATTCCCATTGGTCAGCTAAAATTTAGCAATTCTAATTGCAAATACAGGTCCATTGTAAGTTACAGCAGTGCCAGTATGTAATAACTCAAAATGTTTATTATAACTGATAATTATTTTTCACAATATTTTAGAAGAAGCTACTGTTTCTATACACTTTTCCAACCTACCATGCATTACCAATAATAATAATAATAATAACTAACAGTGCTCGAAATAAGCGTTGTCCGGTTGTCCGAGACAACCAGAATTTGCGCCGGACAACCTAACCAGTCTGAGACATTGTCCGGTGGACAACCAAGAAAAATGTGACGAAAAACACTTTATTTATGTTTTTCTCAGGGGTTCTCGAAGAGCACTTATAGCCTGGCGGCCCGCCATTAATCTATGGTGTGGGAAAGCGACGCATACCAGCTGCTATTTCCAACACTGGTATATGTCAGGTTTTCTGATTTATGAGAGGTGAACTCTATTTGGAACCAGCAATTAAACCAGCAAGTTCACCCCTACATTTTGGTATTTTTATTCCATTATTATTTTGAATTTTCCGATGGCTTTGCCCATGCAAAACAAACAACAGTGTTTCAACACATTCATGTTGATCCGAAAGTTAAAAAAAAGAGAATTGTCGTAGTCAGAATGAAGGCTGAACATGTACTCAAAAGTGCCGCAAATACCATCTCCTGCGATCTACATTTTCAAAATTTTCTGGGGGAGGACCCCCATACCCCCCCGCTTGTTTTTCACACCCCTCCTTGGAATCCTAGATCTGCCACTGAACAATTACATATCTTGGGAGCAGAGAACAATGAACAAAAATGTCGCCTTTTCGCATGGCACCCAAAACAAAGATTGCAGAGAAGGTAGAGGAGCCGTAGGGTGTGGAGAGGGAGGCGGGGGAGCCATTAAAATATTAAGTCATCCACTATTTTGCGCAGTTCGCTGTTTTTGGCCCCCCTTGTTAAAAAATCCTGGCTACACCAGTGTTTTTGGGTGTTTTCTGACCATATTATTATGTGATTGAAAATAGGAGATTTGGGGATATTTTTTTGGGACAACCAGAAATTGTTGCGGACAACCCGATTTGATGCCTGGGTTGTCCGCAGGACAACCACATTTTTTTTCTCATTTCGAGCACTGACTAATAATAATAATATAACGTGGGGTGTGGAGTACGTTGGGGCTAAGAAGAGCATTTATGATTTAAAAGGTAATTTCGATCATATACAGCCTCATTAGTTGGTCTGGCGAGTGTGTCGAGCAACATACACTACCCAATTATTTTTTTATAAATAAAATGAGGTTACCTACATAAAATGCTCTAAACATGAGACCGTGAGACACTTAAATAGTGTGACATTAACGTACTAAGTGACTACCATACTGAGAGAACACTACAGCTCTGCGGAGCTCAGTTCAAGGATTCAAAGATAAACATGAACTGATTATACAGTTCACATCACCATACATCGTAGAGTGCCGTGCCCTCCACAGGCCAGAGCACGAAAACAATCGGCGGAAATGCAAGACCTGCCACACAGTCCTGATGTACGTTCTCAGACGAACATAACAAGAATATTACTATTAGTAATACTGAGTATTAGGGAGCTGTGGAGTTTATAGATTCTAGTACGAGGATATTCAGCATTATTTGCTGTTGATTGTAGACAAACTACAAGCTGTTACTGTGAATAGTGCGCCGTTTGAACCAAGCGGCAAACCAAGTAAGGCTAGTTTACTGTTTAGCACGTCCGGATTAGTTTAGCACATTATTATGCGGAAACACATTTGCGGGGTCCCAAACTATCCTGTTTGATTTACTCCTCCTGTGCTAAGAATCTTGCCCGATCTTGACAAGATAGCATGGGACGTGGACAACAAAAATAAGATTTGTATGAAATTAAAGATCATGTTATAACTAAATAGACACTTATTGAAACGAAAGCGATGTCCTGACATGAATATCTGTGCGATTAATAATACCACTGGCAGCAAGAACAAGCCCGCACGTACAACACACAGTGACACACGCGACCATTGACTACAAGTACAATCTACATATAACAACATTATATATAACAACGTTGTGCGATATAGATTAGATAGTCAATGGCCGCGTGTGTGCTGTACGTGCGGGGTTGTTCTTGCTGCCAGTGATTAATACATCCATTAAATAAATGATTAATACATTCAGGAGTTAATAAAGACAAATTACTGATACATTACTACTGTGTAGTGTGTTGTTGACATTTTTTGCTGTTCGTCGCCATATTTCATCCTGCAAATAGAGCCACCTTGCGGTAACGTTCGACATTATTAGGCCTGTACCGTAGTATTTGTACGCTCGCCCGAAACTTGACGCTCCTAAGTGCGCTTTCTACTCAGATTTCGATATAGTTTCTTTCTTGATTTCACCAGTTACAATGGGTTAGTACGCTTTTTTATTAAATTTAACTGAACTGACAACGGAAATGAAATATCATCAATGACTGGCTAACGTTAGTGCCGCTTAGAGTTTGAATTATCACATAGCTTCAATGAACGTAAACCGACCAGGCTCTCCGACTTTTACACGTCGTAGGATCTCGCCACGCGAGATGGGAACTTGTGGCTACAATGAACGCCGTTCAGTGTTACTTTATCATTAGCTCTAGTATTAGTAACTGGTAACTATAGCCCGCGTACGGTTGCCGCGTACGCGGGCTATAGTTACTAGAGCTACTTTGTCATGTGTCCATGATGTGACACAGTCCAATTTTGATAACGACGGGTTAATGAACTTAATTTGAACTTTGATGGTCACGGTCCCACGCCCACGGCCATGGCATAGATACTGATTTATGGTACTCGCTTACTGTATTATTGTATATAGTAGGTCTACTAGTAGCCACAAGTTCCCTTCTCGCTTAACACTACGTTGGCGATCCTATGACGGTCCTACGACGTGTAACAGTCGGAGAGCCTGGTCGGTTTAGCCTACCAGCGGCAGTTAATGTAAGCGGCTATAGTACTAGAGCTAGCCTACTAGTAGAGCTGAGAGGGTCTATGCCCCTCAGGTTACTGCCGGAACGTACTCTGGGTACGGTCCGGTATACCGGAACGTACCCTGGTACTATATCTAATATGTCGGACCGTACCTCGCCTACTCCACTAACGAGTCTAAGGAGTCGCCTACGCCTACTCCCTAACCCTAACCCTAACCATATCAGATAGTTACCAGGGTACGTTCCGGCATACCGGACCATACCCAGCTAGGGTACGTTCTGGCAGACTCGCAGCTAGGGCCTGCATACCTCCCAAATCCCATTGGTTGATACAAATCATGTGCCTGAAACTCCTGTTTTAATAATTCATTTTATGGTGCATTGTGACCCTAACCCTAACCCTAATTCTAACCCTAACCATAATCCTAACCCTAACCCTAACCCTAATCCTAACCCTAACACTACTTATAATTTAATTAAAAAAATTAACAATAATTGTATCAACCAATGGGAGTTGGGAGGTATGCAGGCCCTAGCTGCGAGTTTCTGGAAGTACCCTGGGGGACATAGACGTACCCTATAGTATAAGCACTAGTACATATCACGACTCTCGTGCAACTGCCACTTTCACTGTGTGCCAGTTCCAGTGGTGAGTGTATTTTTATAACAGAGTCGTTTAGTTACCGGGAGTGTAATATCTTGTATTTTCACTAGCGAGCCAGTGCTTTTTTTGACACATCATCATCACATGTCATCTTCAAAGGATTCCTTTAAGTTTGGCTTCTGTGTCTCTGTCATTCCGTAATGGAATTCTCTTCCTTCTTCTTTAGTTAGTTGCAAGCTTGAGGACCACTTCCTGAATAAAATAGGCTGGTGTGCTGGCATATCTGTGGTTGCTGTACAGCCTTTCCCGTGGGTGATACTCCATTAGGAGTGTTCCCAACTTTAATGTCATTAATGGTCATAATAACATATATATATACTAATTAGTATATAATAATTTATATATTATAAGTATTGGCATGTCAATATATTTTTGGTTAATGTATTATTAGGGTTAGGATTATCAATCATTAATCATTAATCATTATTGATATCAAAGTTGGGAACACTCCTAATGGAGCGTTAGCCTTTCCCGTGGCATAGCAAGTGGCATTATGGTGTATCAGGGCCACCTGTGACATAGGTCCATAAATGTGCATACATATTCAGTGTTAAAAAGCATCAAAGGTATACCTAGCTCTAGTACTATAGCCCGCTTACATTAACTGCCGCTGGCAGCGGCAGTTAATGTAAGCGGTCTATAGTACTAGAGCTAGGGATATACCCATGGGTAGAGCTAATTAATGGAGTCAATATCTTGTCAGGAACACAGTATAATAACGTTGTATGCGGAACATTATATTGTTGGCCAATTTGATTAAGGTAATTTAAAATATAAAGATAGCAGAGAAATTTATTTGGATTGAACGTTTTATGCTCAGTAAATCTCACCGTGTACGTACATTTCGGATCTGGCTGTATCCTGGTGAGATCGCAAGTATGAGCGAAACGATAGGCACTGGCATCAGATCAAGAATACGGGGATCAAAGATGACAGCTGAACAGGTGTCAGCGGATGGGGCCCGGCAGGTCTCTCCCACAGGAGCTAGCCCATTACAGCAGGTATATATACCTATCATCTTCCATCTTCCAACTTAACCAGTTATATTGAAAATTTGCACAAGATATACAATTACATAAAGTTCTACTTTTGTTTCAATATTTGTGCATGACATATTAGTTAATAAGTCTATCATGACACAATGTAACTTGTTATACTATAGACATTGACACATGTATAGTGTTGCCTGTCTGGTCTTTGAACATGGTTCGCACAGTTCTTGAAAAGTCTTTGAATTTGAGGCGAGTCCTTGAGAACTACTTGAATTTAGTAAATGTTGATTTTGTGCTTGAAAAGTCCTTGAATTTCATGAAAATGTCCTTGAATTTAGTAAATGTTGATTTTGTGCTTGAAAAGTCCTTGAATTTCATGACAATGTCCTTGAATTTTTAGAAAGAATCCTTGCCTGTAATAAAAAGAAATTCTGTACCATCAATAATGTGCAAACCTCAATAAAAATTGCGTTAAATGAGCTTAAAAAGCTATAGACACGATAGACAGTTAAATGATGATCACAAATTACAGTAAGTCAGTAAAATCAGTCAGTAAATCAAGGTATGTTGTAGAAGTGACAGTGTTTAGAAGGGTTTATTAATGTAATCCAGGTAAGTTTTAGAGGTGACAGTGATTAAGAATGGGGTTATTAAATTAATCCAGGTATGTTTTGTTCTGTGTATGAATTCCGATAAAATGTCTGATAAAATGTCCTTGAATTTCTGATAAAATGTTCTTGAAAAGACCTTGAAAGGTCTTTGAAAAAATGTTCAGTCCTCCTGTATGAACCATGTTGAATTCCTGTCCGTATCCCAGGAGCTTGTGGCACAATGTCCTGCTTGCCTGCACAACCTACCGTGACACATTGACTTACCTGCAGGTGCCATTAGGTCAGGAGCCATTAGCAGGTTCAACCAGCGTAAATGGAGTACCTGTAGACAATCAGATTACGTCGAATAGTGATCGGCAACCATTACTTTCAGGAGAATCTACAGGTGAGAGTAAGGTAGGTAGAGGTTCTTAAGCAATTGATACCCCCTGTATATAATGTTGAGTTGATGCTGTCGTCAGGGATTTCATCAAACGGAAGCTACTGTTGCCTGCATACACTGATGCTTCTACTAACTCTGACTACATATCAACTAGAGTGAGATATAGTGCACTTAGCAGCTAGCTATGTTAAAATTACCCACCTTCTCGATCTAAAGCTCCTCTTCTCATGTTATGTGTATTCAACATTTATTCGCAACTGGACAAATCTCAAACACTTAAAACAGGAAGATAAGGGCATAATAGATTTGTGTGCATGTTCATGCAGGAATCTGTAGTAGAACCAGAGAAGGAGGAAACCTCACTGATGATAGGACTTCAGGTTGTCATCCCCTTTCTAGTAGCTGGCTTTGGCATGGTGGGAGCTGGCATGGTGCTAGATATTGTACAGGTAGAGTAACTGTCGTGGTCTGCATCTAGGTACGCACGTAGGCGCATACCGGTGCATATACATATACATTGTTGGTTTGTACGTGAATGTTTTCAAAATGTGTTTAGTGTTCCATTTAATTTTGGATACTCAAATTAACTGTTAAGTAAGGCCTCTGAAAAATTGGTTTTGGTTTCACTGTCACATCTGGCCACCAAGAAATGTGAAAAAGACTGAAGATTTGGCGTGAGCAATGCTGTAATTGTTGTTATTATATAATAAAATTCGCTGTTTTATTTGTGTTTAGCATTGGAAAGTCTTCAGGGATGTATCAGAGATATTCATCCTTGTACCTTCTCTTCTGGGCTTGAAGGGGAACTTGGAGATGACGCTAGCTTCAAGAATGTCAACACAGGTGTGCAAAATTGTGTCGTTAATATATATATATATATATATATATATATATATATATATATATATATGGTCATGGTCATATATTAGTTTGTGGTTTAATGTCATTTAGGTTAGGGT